GTAAGTGCTAACAGTGAGAGCAAAGGGAGAAATTAAGAAGGAGAGTTTCATTCTGAACAGTGACCCAGAAAGCATACCAGCAACTGTCCAAAACCCAGCAAGTGTGACCAACTCTTTGTGTTGAGCCTGCCTTCCCTGGCAACTAAGGGAATGGAACCTCCTACAGGCTCCAGCCAAGACCTAACCTAAGCCCAGTCCTACGGGAGAGCTACTAGTAGGCCAGCTGTCACGTGCCCACTGGGAAAGCCTGCATTTGACCTAGAGGTTAAAGGATTAGGCAAAATAATCCCAAATTTCCCATTTTTAATAGTATAAAATCCAGGAGCTTTATGGAAAAGATGCCTTAGTAAAAGCTCTCATGATCCATTGGTAAAATCTGGCTTCTTCAGTCTCAGGATATTAAAATCACAGCAGGCATACTCTCCCACATGACAATTCCACCTCCTCCAACATGTCACAATAAATGGTAAAAAAAAAAAAAAGCATACTACCGATTTGGCAATTACTTGTATTCTGAAGCTCTGCTAAAATTCCTCTTCTCCCTTTGTTTTGCAGGCTTCTCTAGCAAACAAGTTTAACTGTGTTATGCTGCCCTCAGGTGTCCATTGCTTTAGAAGCACAATTAGCAGGGAAAGCAGGATCCGTTGTAAATTTCCAATCCCCTTCTTCATCCCTCCCTCCCCAAAACACTTGAAGAAAAGAAGGGAGAGCAAAACTGACTTAATAGAGTTTCACCTGCTTTCCTTAGCTCTTCCTACTAATGAGCTGTGCACATGTGCAAAACTTGAAATGGCCAGAAGGAGAAGGCATGCAGTGACTGAATAATGTATCAGTGAGATACTGGGAGGACCTAATGACCACCACTGACTCACTGATGCAAGCTATCAGTGTTGCAGTTTCCATTATGCATGAACCTATTTATTTATTTATTTATTTATTTATTTATTTATTTATTTATTTTTAAAGCAGAGCTACTGGGGAAAAAATAAAGAACAGATGAAGAAAGAAAAACAGAGCTACAGGGAGTACAGAGAGAGAAGAGAGAAAATGGAGAAAGAGAAGAATGAAGAAAGAGGAGAGAGAGGGAAGAGGAAAAGGGAGGTACATAGAGAGGGAGAAATGGAGAAATGGAGGGAGAGAAAAAGGCATTCATTTGGAGTCACGGAAGCCAAGAAAACCTGGCCGTACATGATGAAGTCCGACATGCTGAATGAGGATTCCTATAAAAATCTAGGGAGTTGCCAATTTGATAGTGAATTGTATTCTAAAGGTCATTTTTAAATTGAAAAATTTGAAACTGTAATGTTTTTCTATAGAAACATTTTCACACCTGAAGGTTAGAGTAAAATTGAACTGCATGTCTCATTAGAAACCCTTAGCAACTCTGAGATCTAGGCCTGATGCTTCAGTGAAATTTCAGTATCACCAGGAAGCTAGCTAGCTGGAGAGCGTGGGAGCCTGGAGGAAGCCACTGTGGCCAGGGAGTTCCCAATCAGGTGAAAGGAAAGACTGAGTACCACTGACGTGGAAAGAAGGCAGCACTGGCTCAATAGCAATTAAGACCAAGGCTGGAATCTACAACAGGATAAAGCCCACGCAGAAAAGAAATGACAACCGGGGGTGGGGGGGGGGGGGGAGAGAAACACATATGTAATATTTCTAATAATAAAGAATTTTAAAAAAGAAAGAAAGAAAGGAAATGAAGCCCAGGGATGGGATGGCTTTACCGGCAGAGGGTGTGGAGGGATCCAGAGAGACGGCTCTGCAGGAGGAAGGGAGACAGCAGGCAAAATGCACTTATGGCAGCTGCCAGTCACAATAATGACAATCACAGACAGATTTCCTGAGGATACTAACCACCTATCTACCTCATGCAGGTTTGTGGGACTTTTGAGGGTAGAACTATAAAGTAGCACAATATGAAAAGTAAAAGAATTAAAATCACTTAATACCAATTCTTCTAATACTCATTTTCCATTTCTGATAATAAACCAAATATTTTACCCATTACTAAAAAGTCTAGGTTCCTTAAGAGAGATAACCTAAGAATTAAAAACTCACAATTATCAATGCAGTTTACAGGTTGAATATAATCCATTTCTATGTTCTATCTGAAACTGAACTACACATATCTTTTAACATTGTTCTGGTGCAAAACCTACACTTTATTCCTTGACTCTTTCATCCTCCTACCAGTATTGTGTACTAGCCTTGGGTTTACTCCTTATCCAACCTATAACCCAAGACACAAAAAGAGCCAGTAAGGTCCAGCCTCCCTACATTAAACTCAGACCCCTAAGGATGCTAAAAGCGCTCTCTAAGTATCCCCAAGGCATAGTATCGGCAGGATGCCTGGCCTGAGGCAGAGAGAGCTACCACTCCAGAAAAACAACACTCCCACCCCCTTACATCCACCGCACAGGGTGGGCTGGCTTCTTGCCTCCGACCATGGCCTGACCTTGGGCAGCCACTGTCTGTGGACATCTTTTGACTTTTAGTTGTGAAATTGGCTAATGGACTATGCACCTCCCTACCCCACTCTTCATTTCAACTCAGTTCTGTACCTAAACCTTCTTGCCACCCCAGAGGCCATCCCTGGTGAGAAATGGCTGCCTATTGTCCTGCCTCTGCCACCTGTCTTCAGCCTCAGCAGTAATCCTGCCAGGAGGGCTGGATCGAGGTACAGAAGAGCCAGTTATTGTCAACAGAGTGAATGCATTTGAAGATTTATCCAGAAAAAGAAATGATTTGAATTTATTCCAACATGACAGGTGGTTCTATTCCTATCATTTCAAATAAAATACAGGCCTAAATGAAAAAAGGTTCAACTCTTTCCTTATTGACAGTTCAAACAAAATTCAATACAATTTGGTTCCATTATAGCAAGAGAAAAATAGACATGTACCTATATTTGCAAGTTTAATTTACATGTATATTTCACAGATGACGAGGCATTTTAAAAGAGATTACTTAGCAAATTAGGCACATGGTCACAATTATAAATTTAATTTAAGAAAATAAATAACGTGCAGACAGTAAAAGCAAATCAATACTATTGCTAACATAATGATAAATCTTTCATATTTTTCAAAAACAGGTACTGAAGGGAATTGCCATTTTTAGTTCCAATGAAACAATTATAACATCTGAGTGAATTGCTCCCCCAAATATTGCATATACTTCAGATTGGAGGTTTTCTACCCGATGTAGAGGTTTAATTATAACTCAATGTATAAATAAAATATCACTCCAGTGCTCTTTTACCACGGCACCTCAGTTACCTGCTAACATTTCTCCAGTTAAACCTGATAAATGGAGATAAGCCTAGCCAACACTACCCCAGGGGAGATCTGACTTCCAGGAGCATGTTCCATTTATTTCTGCCCCTAACTCAAATGGCACAGAACTTGGAATGGAACAGACACACTCTAAGTGTTTGTTGAATGAGAGAATAAATTAGAAAAAGAAAGATAGAAAGGCATTCAACATGTAATGCTGTTAGATTTATTATATGAATATTCATTCTATCATTTTATTAGTAAGAAAGTTAGCAGGAAGAACAAAAGACCCATACCAATGCATTTCCAATGCATCATTCCTTTGAGTGAATGAAACCCTCATGAAAGATTCACAAAGAACAGCCAAAAGACGTTCAATTCCCATGTTATGCCTCCCCCACTGAGAGCATGAAATCAAGCTTGGCTCAGCACTTCCAAGAGAGGACATGCTGTTGTATTCCCATTATGACACGATGTAAGGAAGAAAAGCAAAAATGGTTCATTAGTTCATTCCCCAAGAGAATATTCTGGCATCGGAGTAAGAAACAAGAGATGAGGGCCTAGCCAGTGCAGAGTAAGGAGAAGGTGGATAGGGACAGAAGTTAGAAATAATTCACTTTATATTTCAAATGATTCACTTTTATAGGGTCATGCTAATAAGTCAGACTGACACTATGACAATCAATCAGGCAACCATGATGCAAGAGAAGCTACATCCAGAATTATGGATAAAAACTTACCACCTAGAAGGCAAATTTATTTTTTAAAGGAATCCAGAGGAAGAAGAGAAGAGAAACACATTATCATATAGTTAGTTCTTATGAATACTACTATACATTCAACAGACTTGTAATAATAGGCATTGTAAATAAAGATTAAAGACTCTAATAAACAAAACCTAAATAATAGACAGTCTTAAGTATATAGAACACATTCATGAAAACAAAACTAAGAACTAATAATCACCAAAGACATGATTTTGAAGATACTATAGTGAGGTTTACTTGTATTTATAATTTTCTCCCTCATATATGTAATTCTGCCACTTCAGCCAATTGTTAATTATGCATGATTGGCACAACTTGAGATAATATTAAAATGTCCATTTAAGTAAACTGTCTCTTATATTGTAGTTGCAAAAAGAAGTGTGATGCCTCACTTAATCTCCTTTCAATTACTCACAAGTGGTCTAAAGACAAAACCAGAGCAAATCGAGATCTGTGGTTCTGAACCTGGGGTGCCATGGCTTGTTTGGACATCAAGCATCTGAGTTATCTGAATAAATAATAAACCTCACACCTTTATTTTACTTCTTCAAATTATTGCAATGAATAAGATACATGTTTATATGAAAGTATTATCAAAGTAATCTGCTTTTAATAGAAATAAATCCCCCCAAATTCATGGAAATTCTATTAGATCCTCAACCTTTAAATAAAAGGTTATTGAATTCTTTTTTTCCTCCATCAGCAGACACTAAATACACAATACTGACATGTAGATGAGATCTCAAAATATCCAAGATGAAAAAACTTCCCCCTTCTGGGATTAGTGTTACATGGGGACAGCCTTCTCAAAACTGTCTCCTTTGGCTGAAAGTAAGATTGAGAAATTGAGTGGGAGGAAAGGGAAGGGAAAGAGTTGCAGCTATTATATAGTGGGGAGAGGTAAAAGCACAGAACGCTTGCTTCTCTGTAAGACAGTTCACAACCATACACTTACATGGCCATGAAGATCTGTGTTAAGAAGCATCATCGCACAGGTGAGACAATGAACACCGTCTAAGGAAAGAGACAAGGACAGAAAGCATTAATTCACTATTTCCTAGACTCCTTTTGTCATTAACATAGCATATATTAAGACCACAATATATATGAAAGCATCATACTGTAACTAGACAAAATAATCACATTTGTTTGGGGAGACAGAAATCAGATAAGAATAAATCATTAAAAAGACCTCAGTGCACAATGTTGGACTCTACTGGATAAAGTGAATTATCCCTACCTCTCAGAAGGACAATTTGATAGTACCTATCTTTAAGCTTTGAAACAATGTCCTTTGACACAGCAAACTTACTTCTGGGCTTTACACTAAGGAAATAAAAATGTATACAACATACAAGGATATTAAAAAAAACACTGATTATAATAGGGAGCAAGTAAATATTACGGTACCCTTTTTTGGAAAACATAATTGTTATGTTTAAGTAATTTAAAATGTTGTCCAAGTATACATATTGAAGTGGAAAGATATTTCACAATAAATTAGTGTATGAAAAACACATTATATTGTATATAGTATAATTCCATTTAAATATAAATACATCTGAAATAATATATAAAATGATATTTAAAAGAGATTATTTCTAGAAAATAAAATGGCAATTTTTTAAATTTATATCTTCTCAATTTTAACAACAGATATAAAAATGAATATAAATAGTGTAGTGCTGTTCTTTTTATTAAAAAAAACAAAACACTTTCTGGGACGAAAGTGAATTGGGAAAGAAGCAAAAGTTAAAGAAAGCCACAATTTGAATCTTCCTCAGTTTACTGTTTGGGTATTACTCCTTTGGCTAACAATGTATAAGTAGGAATAGCTATCTTTTTTCTTGCCATTCTTTAAAGAAAAATATAGTTTGAATGGTCCAAGATACTATGAATCCGACAAAAGCAAAATACTAAAATAATCTGTGAAAATTTTAAATTTAAATATTCAGGGAGAAAAGTTGCCCAAGCCGGAAGAATTTCACACTTATATAGAAGCATTACTTTTCTTACTTTATATAAAAAAAAGGAAAAAGCACCGAGTTAAGCTTCTCATTTCCAAGTTTTCTTCTGCTCTCTCTGCAATTCTCAACCCAAGTATAGTAAGATAGCATATTTTTCCAGAGCATGCCTTTAAGTATAGTAGGATATTTCTGTTATTAAAGTCTCTAGGTTGATGCTTTTAAGTACCTAAAAGTATAGTTATCCCAGTCTCAGTTTATGATAAGAAATTCTAAATACATTTAAAACAAATTCCTGAAAGTATCTGTTACACTCAGTTGATAAATAAATATCCTATCAACAGGCAAGTGAATGCACAAATCCACCTTCCTATTACATTCTGGAATGTCATGTTAACATCTTGGGATTTGAAGAAGGTTCTAATAAAAACAACCCTTTCCTCTTAGATCTGGCATTCTCTGCTCAATGCTGACAGTGATAGAGACAGTGAATAAATTACCTAAATATAGTCAAAGAACGGAATAAAGAAAGAAATTTCCATTTCAGAGATAGGGATGTGACTTTATTTTTTTCCAAAACATGTTTTTCTTGATTTTGAGAAAGAGGAAGGGAGAGGAAGAGAGAGAAAACATGCAACCTGGACATGTGCCCTGACCAGGAATCAAACTGGTGACCTTTTGGTAATCAGGACAACACTCAACCAACTGAGCCACACCTGCCAGGTTAACGAGAGCCAGGATTTGCATCCTCCACAGCATCTTTACTATTTGGGTATTAGTTCTCTGGCTAACATAGACAGAAATAGTTATCTTCTTTCTTGCCATTCTTTAAACAAAATATTTAGGTTGAATGGTCCAAGATACTATGAATCAAACAAAATCAGGAATGTGACTTTAATAATCAGTTGTTTATTATATTCTGAAGGATTGGGGTGGGGCAAACAATTACTTTATTCAATATCAAATACACTTTCCTTTAGTTAACTGGTAATAGTGAAGCTGGGAGATAACTACCATTTCTACTGTATCTACTCTCAGCCATTTATTCCAGAATGTGTAACCCTATGGAGGACTCTCCAATGGCAAATAAATGCACTTGAGTTCAAGTCCTGAAAACTTTGCTATATTGTAGGAAATGAAATGGAGAAAGACCACTCTTCATAAGGTACACCAACAGCTAAAGTTGCTTTTTAAAAATAACACAATAAACATAAGCTAAAGTCAGTGGCCAGTGTTGTTTTGACTATTATCAAACAAAAGCACCAGACACACACTATAAACTCTAGTGAGATTTGTAAATATTTCCAAAACTAAGCACGCATGCACCTCATCAAGGAATTAGAGATTAGAAGCTGAGGAAGAGGAAATATGAAAACTGAAAACTGAGATTTCATTTATTACAATCCATTTTGCACATAAAATCTCAGTGACAAAGCATAAGCAATTTAAAAAATATTGTCACACTCTGAAACTGGAAAATAAGAGAAAAATAACTGAGTAAAGAATGTCATGCATCAATAAATATGCTTTTTAGAGAATATTTGATGCCATGAGAAAATGCTCACAATGAAAGAGAACACCAATAGGAAACAACTCCCTAGTGATTCAAATTTGACATCAAATAAATTTTGTATAAATAAACTAGAAAGAAGTAAATCTGACTGTTTATAATAGCTATCCTTAGAAAGAAATATTTAGATGACTTTCACTTCTTTTGTATAATTTTCCACAATCAAATATAACTTTTAAAATGAGGAAAACAATCCCATTATAAAAAAATAAATCCAAGCATTTCCATCAGATTACCTTGTGAAGAAATGGTATCCGGATTACAATAAAAATATCTATTGGAGAAGTGTATTAAAACTCTCTCTCGTTCTTGAGTTTCTCCCACAAGAGAAAATGCTTTAAAGAAATACCTAAAAAAGAGTTGGGGGAGAGGTAAATTTTAGAAAACGTTACACTCTTTATATTTGACAGTTAAAGTTAATTCATATAAGCATAAGAAATTACACACATTAAGATATGCTGCAGTTATTTTTTTTAAATCGCTTAATAAATGGCCATTCAGTAAAAATTCATACTGACATTTCATTTCTTTAAATGACACTGTAAAAGATGACAGGACAATAAGGTGGAGGCCAATACATCAAAAGAGCTTTGCAAAGGCAGGTAATTTCCTCATATGACTAGCGCAGCCCTTTAAAAGGATCAGTTGAGTAAAAAACCAAAGAATACTTAAGACTAAACACAAAACCATGTAGGCTATGTTTTAAAACTCGACATGGATCACAGGGTGTTTTTTTTGCCATTTTGTTCCATGACTATAATTGCCACTGACCCACTGTTAAAATTACAGTTATATTGTTGTGTGCATAATAGATTTCTGTTCACTTTACTTCGCCTATTATTGCCACATAAATAAATTGTTACATGAGGAGGAAATTGAAAAGTAAAACTCTATTTATTCCATAAGTTAGGAATAAATTAATTTGTGTATAAAACTTCTCTGAGCCCTAGCCAGTTTGGCTCAGTGGATAGAGCATTGGCCTGCAGAATGAAGGGTCCCAGGTTCAATTCTGGCCAAGGGCAGATGCCCAGGTTATGGGCTCAATCCCCAGTGGGGGGCACACAGGAGGCAGCCAATCAATGATTCTCTCTCATCAATCATTGATGTTTCTCTCTCTCTCTCTCCCTCTCCCTTCCTCTTGAAATCAATAAAAATATTTTTAAAAAACTTCTTTGAACAATAGAAAATATTTCCAAAACCACACACACAGCCCAAATCAGAGTCACTGAGAGTACTATCTATATATATAAAAGCCTAAGTGTCCATCCAACTGTCCAACCTGTAGCTATAACATGCACTGACCACCAGGAGGCAGAAGCTCAATGCAGGAGCTGCCATGAAGTACACTGGCCATTTAAAAAGAAACAGCACCATGCACCTGGCGCTGACAAACCAACATCCGGCTTTCCTCAAGTGGGACACAGGCTCTACCACTACTGCAGAGTGATTTGCCTCCACCAAATCGCAGCCAATGCTGCGAAGGCTCAAAGGCACAAAATGCAGCCCGCAGCCCACAGCCCAGCCCAGCCCAGCCCAGCCCAGCCCATAAACAGTGGCCATAGGCACAGGGTAAATGAAGTTACGTAGCAATACCCAGCTTCCTCTCCTAGTGACAAGCCTCCTTGGAGTTCAGTCAGGAACATGATTTGCTTTATAGCCAAGTGCAAACATTTTACACTTTAATCAAATGTTAGTGAAGCATTTTCCCGTGCCTCATCTCATTTGATCCTCACAGAAGTTCTGGAGTAGGTAGGTAGGAGACTCAATAGAATCCTATTTTCTTTTCATTAGCAAGATGCAAACAGAGATATTAAAATATTCTAATTAATCTCCTTTCAATGTGCCTGAATCCATGCATCAGGACACTAGCTACAGATAAATCCAGATGTCCCTCACTTGACAAAGTAGATGCATCCCCATGAGATGGGAAAGAAAAAAATCACCTAAAATGCTCTAAGAAATATTATTATTGAAAGAAATATACAATAAATCTTATTTCTATGATAAAAATGTTGTTCTTTATAGTCTGCTAATCTAAACTATACTGATAAAACTTAATTTTTTTCTAACTTTTAAAAAATAAACTACATAAAAAAGTAAAGCAAAAGCAAAACAAAAATATAGATCTCTCCTCCACCCTTACCTGTTTTCATTGCAAAACCAGTGAGTACCCTTGATTCATGCAAAGAGCCATAGGAGAAGTCTCTCTGTGTGTTATCATCCAAACAGCCCCACTTCGCCCCCCAGGTCTCAGTTTCCTGCTTTGTAAAGCTAGAAGGTTACACCCTTGATCTCAAAATTCCTCCAGGCTCTGACATGTTATAAACTTCTTACAAGTAGATGCTGACTGGGTTCTACCTCCAGCTGCTGTTATAGAAATTTATTGTACAATATGGTGTGGGAAAATGAGGGTCAGATTGTGTAATTCATCTTCATATGAACACATGAGCAAAAAGTGTTACTGCCTGACATACTTTTACAGATACTTTCTGCTGATTATGTTGATATTCATTTTTATTCCATTCATGAGTTAATTCCAAAGTACTGTCTTAAAAGATTAATTGGTATTGTAAACAAATGCTTAGGAAAAATACCTAAAATTCTACAGTCTATATGTAAACTGCAATTTTTAAAATTGATCTCATGAAGACCAAATTCCTACAGATTCCATTTCTTCTCGTGACTAATGCTGCCTCCATTCTTTACGATGTCACCTATCAGATGCCGAATGTGAGTTCATATAATTTCATAAAAACAATATATTTTTCTCATTTTCTGAAATATAATATTTATAATCGGAACTAAATTCACAAAGTAACTGTGGATTAAAAAAAACAAACATCAGTCTGGCCAGCATGACTCAGTAGTTGCACGTCAACGTATGAACTAGAAGGTTGTGGTTCGATTCCCTGTCAGGGCACATGCTCGGGTTGTGGGCTCGATCCCCAATGTGGGGAGCACAGGAAGCAGCCAATGAATAATTCTCTTTAATCATAAATGTTTCTAGCTCTCTCTCCACCTCTCTTCCTCTCTGAAATCAAATTTTTAAAAAAATCTAAACAAATAAAAATCAGATTTTAGCATCAGAACAATACTTTCTCTTCTTAGGAGAAATTCTTAGGAGGCAAAAAGAATAGGAATGTAATCTTACCTGAGAGACTGATCCAGCGTCATTCCTGTAAAATCAAAAAACTTCAGATATTCTTCTGCAACTAGTTTGCTAAATTCATTGCTATAAGAAAGCAAAATAGACTTGGTTATTAATATAAAAGCACACACATGTGTATACACACACACACACACACACACACACACACAGCCTTGGGACAGAACGTACTTCTTGCCTAGGTGCTTTGCGACATCCGACCTTTTGAATCTGTCTAGTTGATAAAGGCGTTTGGCCAACCTCTTGGCTGCTTCTACATTGCTGCTAGTACCATTACTGAGACTTTCTGAGGGCTCCTTTTCCAGAATTTCAGTGTTCCCCATTTCAGCATGAGCATCCAGCAGTGCTGTTTTCACCCCAGCATGGCTGCGAGAACTGAAAAGGAAGGGAAAAAAGAAGTCAAGATTTTTCTTGCATGGCAAAAAGGACAATACCTGAAAGAATTATCATGATATTGTGGAACCAACTAAATGAAATAAAAACCACAATTTTAAATGAGACTGTTTTATTCGTAACCATTTGTACACCATAAGTATCCATAGACACAAATGGTGGACCTTTTTTAACTAAATTCAAAATATCATGGCAGTTAACTAATTATTTATAAAATATTGTCAGTTACTATTTCAATGCACTAAAGTGATTGCTTACATCCTGGATAAGCAGTTCTCAAACCTTCTGGTCTCAGGAACTTCACATTTTTTAAAATATGGAGGATTCCAAAGACCTTTGATTATGTGAGTTATATCTATTGATATCAACTGTATTAGTAATTAAAATAGAAATTTTTCAAATATTAATTCATTTAAAAGTAAACCATTTAATGAAAATAAATAATATATTCTTATTAAAGATAACTATATTTTCCAAAACAACAAAGTTTAGAATTACTTTTCCATGCAACCGTAATTCACATTTTTTACACACTTCTTTAATGGCTGGCTTATTAGAAGACAGCTGCATCCTCACAGCCACTTCGACATTCAAGCTGTAATAACATTGATTTGGTGAAATAGATTTAAGAAAATCCAGCGTCAGAGAGATATTTAGTTAATTTTAATAATCCTTTTCAGATCATTGTAGATATTATTTTTGATATGACACCTAAATAAAACAGTAGTAAGTCCTTAAAGTTTAATTGCAATACAGAATCTAAACTAACAGCGAATGTTTTGTAGGAATATTAAAATCTATCTTACATTTTGAATGAATCTTTTACCAGAAATGATTCTGCAACATGCAATGGTCATTTGCAAAATATCTGTTGACATATTTCATTATGCAATATGAAGAAAAGTCATATTCATTAATGTCACCACTAATAATATCTTCAGGAAAGTCTAAGTATTGGGAAGTTGTCAGATTTTTGGTACAGAGATAAGTTTTCTAAACTTCTAATTTTTGATGGAAAGCTCACATTTTATCAATGGCAACAAAAACTGTCACTTGTTTTCCTTAAAGTGATAGACACAATCTTAATTTCCAAGAAAATGTCTGCCAGTAATGTGGTTTTCCAGTCAGACTTTGAGGGGAAAATGGCACTCCATGAAAAAAGGGAGTAGTTTATAGCTCACAACTCTAATTACGTCCAAGTGCTTTTCCTGGAGGGGACCATCAGGAGAAGTGCTTTATGCATATTTTCCATTTAATCCCATGAGAAATGAAAAAGGCATGTAGTCAAGGGTTGAAATATAATTAATGTGTACTGCTTTATCAAGGATATATTTAGGCTAAACTGATCTGTTTTTATTTCAAGTGCCTGGTAGTACAATGCAATACAGCAATTAGAATAGTTTGGTGCTACTCCCTGGGTTAGTGCTAAGACACCCCCTCCCACTGCTTTTGTACCATCAGTGCAAATATCAACACAGTAAAACAGGAAAATGATGCTGTGCTGTTATTACAAAAATAACTTTGATCTCACAAACCAACTGAAGGGTCTTGGTAAGCCCCACAGACCATACTGTGAAACTTCTGCTCTAGAAAGGAGTCTGTGGCTAGCTGTACAATGCTACATCAGGCAGACACAGAAACCAATGAACTGATATGCATATATGCATAACCCATGGACACAGACAACATGTGGTGAAAACCTGGGAAGGGGTGGGAGTGGAGTGGAATGAGTTAATAGGAAACAAGGAGACATCTGTAATACTTTCAATAAAGATAAATTTTAAAATATATATTTTATAAAAAACAACACAATGAAAGGAAATTATCCATCACTTTTTTCTGAGTAGTGAAAATAAATGGGTGATTTTCTTAAAAAAATAATAAAACCAATGAGAATACAGTAATTTCCAAATCTTCATTTTAACTTGTTAATAAAACAAAGCTATTTCATGATGAACTACTGTGAGCAAGTAGCCTTCCAACACATTTACAACAGATGCTAGACAGTCAGAATGTTTCTGTAGCGGACCAGACAGTATATATTTTGGACTTGCAGGCCACATAAGGCCCCTATCACACGTTTCTTTGTTTCTGTTGTTTGTTTGTTTTTACAACCTTTAAAAACTTAAGAGCCATTCCAGGCAAGGCTGAATGAGGTCAATAGGCTAGTTTGTGTGTCCTTGCCTTATCCCATACTTCTTTAACTTGGTCTAAATAGTAAGTAAAATAATAACCAATTATTATCTAAAACAGGACACTCTGAAGAAGGAACAGGGATAACCAGTCATTCAATATGCAATTGTAATTATTACAAGTAAAATAATGCTTAAAATAAGCATTAGAAATTCACTGTAAATTTACATCATGTAATAAATACAAAAATCACATTTGCAAAGATGAGTATTTTAAAAACTGCTCGGTCTCTATTTTGTCACCTATTCTATCTAAATTATAATTTCCCATTTTGCACTAATCCACTGACTACCTGTTAGCCTGGCAGCTTCACCACCACTGAAATGTAGTTGGGCTACTGCACCACCAGCTGACATACCAAGTAGCTCCTAGAGGCAAAGTCCCTGGCTTCCCCCACCCCTGCCAGACCTGAGGGAGTTAACTGTCCCCAGCAGCCCCTCCCCAAGCTCACTTTCCCAGCTCCTTGCTGTCCTGAAGAGGACTATCAGGAAAGGAAAAAAAGAAAGGTTATCCCACAATGTCTCTGAGACTCAATCAACTACAGGAAAATTCTGTTCTATGCACATGCCAATCACACCTTCCAGAAGAGACTTCGGAGAAGCTGGAAATACAAGGTGAGGGTTTATCAAACCCATGATCATGGTATTACTTCATTTTCTTAAAGTCAAAGTCAAATGTGAAAATGTAGTCAATTCCAGGACAACAGACACAAACTAGAGCTGATCCAGGAGAACCAGGATGCCTGGTAACCTCCTTAAACAAGTTTTCAGCAAAAAATACCTTCAAATGACAATAAATTGCTTCATCATGGTGAAACCTTCATGCAAATATATCTAAATATTTTTTTCATTCTAAACCTTCCTTTTTAGAGAATTGACATTACCCAACCAGACTGGTGAAAATTATCTTATCGGAAATTGAATATTTAATTATTACATATGGCAAATCAATAATAAACAAACTCATAGAAGAAATTTCTTTTAAAGAAAACTGTGTTTTCTCTCATAAGTGGTGAAATGTAAAATACTTATTCCAAGAACAATTTTAGTTCAAATCAAGTAATTTTTATAAATAAAAAAAAATATCCCTGGAATTGTGTTCCCATGCCTTCTCTTACTCTATAATTAGCTTTCATGTTGGAGGAAAATGTCAAAGAAAGGATTTTCTTCTCAGTTAAACTGGTACTACTGTTCACCTCTCAGGGAAAATTCATGGCATATACTTAATCACTCCAGGCAAACATGTAGTTTACACATCATTCTGCAAAGATTTTGTTTAAATACAAGATACTTATCCTAATGAGCATATTTTTTAAATGCAGTAGCAAAATTATTCCTATTGTTCATGTTTCTCATTCCTCACATTTGCCTTCTCTTTCTACCAGCTTTCCCAGTCCAGTCTATTTTCTCATCTTCCTCACATTCACCAGGAGGTAATATTAAAACTGGTAGGCATCAGATGTCTCTGGATTTTAGTAAAAAAAAAGAAAATTAAGAATAAAGTGAGGTTAAATACTCCCTTCCTGGATGGCTTCATTCTGTCCCATTTCACAATTCACCAGATTATGTGAATGAGAACAGAGATTGCTCCTTTTAAATCAGAATGTCTGTGAAAACATGGAAAGACAAACTCACCAGCAATAAGACAGACACCAAGAGAAGCTCATCATGGAGCCCAGGTTGCTCATGGGCCATACTTCCTCTGCTCAGCCCCGTCCCATCCAGGACCCATTCGTCCACAAGTCCAGCTCTGCTGCTGGTCCTCTAGGCATTCCAAAGAACTGGCTCCCTGTGAGGTCACATTACTATGACCTCACGTTCTCAGCAGAGTGCTTATTATTGGGGCTTTTGTAATGCTTTCAGAGCCTCCATACAAACAGGAGCCAGAACACAGGGGCCACTGTATAGGAAGAACATAAGCAACAATGGCAGCCCAGCCTTGTTCACATTGGATCAAGCAGAGTGGATGGTCCCTCTCCGAGAGAATGACATCCATGTTACAAGACACTGGCCATCTAGTCTGTTGACTATTAGATGCTTTCAATGGTTTGAATTTCCCCTTTTCTATAGTTCCATTTTTCTTCTTAATAATCTCATAAGGTGAAATCCCTACCAGTGACTTGAATGTAGAAAACATTTCCCAAAAGATTCTCCCTGTGTTCTACCAAATGCTTGTACCTCACACCTCCAAACAAACGTGGTAACGTTAAAAAAAAAAAAAAATCAGATCATTGAGTCTGACCACCAAGTCTTTCATGACCTTTATTTTTGTTTTTGTTTTTATCAAACTAGGATTACAATATTTTTCAAATAAAAATGATAAGACACCCACCTAGATCTGAATTTCAGATAAACAAAAAAAAAGTAATTTTCAGTTCAGTATATTTCAAATATTGTGTGGACATACTGAACACTAAAATATCATTCTTTGATTATCTAGAAATTCAGATTTAAGTGGACTATATCTCCTGAAATGTTTATTCTTATCGGCTTTATTTGAAGAATTCCAATAATGGTGCTCTCTGTGAATTGGTAGCGCTTTCCACAATCACGCTACCTCCCAGGTTTGTGTTTCTTGTTTTGTTGTTGTTGTTGTTTTGTGTTTTTTGTTTGTTTGTTTGTCTTGGTATTCTTTTTTCAGTTTAATTTTGCAAATTTATTTTATTCAACTTGGAAAATGAATACAAATCCCTGGGTATTTTTGTCAGGGGTGGAGGGGGTGGCAGGAAGAAGGGAATAGGAGTCCAGGCAAGGTACGAGCAACACAGTAGTTGTCTCATGCCCACATCC